ATATCATAGATTTGAAACATTGCTAATGTGATTTGTACCTCTTCTAAATAACAACAACAATTTCATGATATTCAATAAATAAACAAATCAGTTACATCACTGAATATGATACAGAATGTTAGAATATAGTAGAGTTTAATATATAAGATAGCTGTTCAGACTCTTCAATTGTATCAGATGATTGATCATTGAGTGCAACACTCTGATCAGAAAAAGATTCAGATATTAAAACTTTCTGATATGAAGTGAACTCAGTTGAAATATGTGATTGATTTACTGTTTCAGTTTTATAAGATAATAAAGACAGTCTCAATCACTTATACATCAATACTGCAGTCAGTCTGATGAGTATATAACAGTTTATTTACTCATCTTGAGAAGCAGTTAAATCACTCAAAAAGAAATTCAGTCTGAGATAATACTATAGCACAGGCTATTATTACTATAAGGAATAAACTGACATATTACTACAGCAAAATAGAACAATCTTTTGCAGAGTACTATACTGTAGCAGCTCTACTAGATCTCTCTTATCAAGTTAATATCTACACTTCTCAAGATTGAATAGAGAAGAAACAAGACTTATATGTCAAATTAATCTGAGACTACTACAATGTCAACTATCAGAGATTTGAATAAGTAGATGTTTGAGATGTGAAGACAGTGAAATATAATTCTCTAGTAAGTAATAATCTTTGATAATACTTCATATCATATAGAACTATAATACTAACTTTGAAACAGAACTTATATACATTGATTACAACTGAAAATCAGACAAAACTACATACTTATAAAACTGAATTTGACTGCTATCTTCAAGATGATCTGATGAATTTACACATCAAATCAATTCTAGAGTTATAAAAAATTGTTGAGAGTATATATTCAACTGTTGCACTGATGACATATGATATTCTGATAATTTCATTAACAGGGATGAAAATGAAGTGAAAGTTCAACTCAAGTCAAGATATTTATCACTATCACTGAGAACAATTACAAGAAGAAACAATCAAGAAACTCATGATTGTAAAACATGAAATTATCAGACAGTTTAATATCTCTGATCACAGTATATCAGAGAAATGTAGTTTTCATGAGAAAGTGAAGAATAAACTTGCACAAGAATGTATTTAATTGTTTCATGAGCATTATCAATAATCATTATCAAATTCTGATTATATAAGCAATCACTGAATGAACTGAATGAGACTGATTTTAATCTTCAGTCTCAGTTTCATTCTGATTTTGAAAGAATGATTATCTTTCACAGTTTATTCTGAAAAATTACTTCTATTTCACTGTTCTTGAATTAAATCTGATCATTTTTCACATCATTTCTCTCAGAAATGATTCATTTTCAGATTTTTTTAAGGCTTGATTCTGGTCAGATTCCTCACCTTGAAACTTGAGGGACCAGACCAAATGAGCCAAATGTGAAATCCATGGTCCCGTCGGCCAGTCTTCTTATAAGGATAGATAAAGATCAGACTTATGAAGATTTCTGTATATAGCTTCAAACATTGAATAACATCTTATCAAGCTCAAGAGTATACAGAATAGTAATAGAAGATATTATATTTTAATCACTTATATATCTACATCTGTACTGAAGAATAATAACAATGATACAGATACTATAAACTAGACTGGCCGGCGGGACCATGAATTTCACATTTGATCCCATTTGGTCTGATTTCATACATTTCTTGGCATGAGTCTCACCAGGACCAAGTCTCAAAAAAATCTGAAAATGGATCATTTCTAAGAGAAATGGTGTGAAAAATGACCAGATTTAATTCAAGAACAGTGAAATGAGAGTAATTTTTCAGAATAAACTGTGAAAGATGATCATTCTTTCAAAATCAGAATGAGACTGAGACTGAAGATCAAAATCAGTCTCATTCAGTTCATTCAGTGATTGCTTATATAATCAGAATTTGATAATGATTATTGATAATGCTCATGAAACAACTAAATACATTCTTGTGCAAGTTTATTCTTCACTTTCTCATGAAAACTACACTTCTCTGATATACTGTGATCAGAGATATTAAACTGTCTGATAATTTCATGTTTTACAATCATGAGTTTCTTGATTATTTCTTCTTGTAATTGTTCTCAGTGATAGTGATAAATATCTTGACTTGAGTTGAACTTTTGCTCCATTTTCACCCCTGTCAATGAAATTGTCAGAATATCATATATTATCAGTGTAACAGTTGAATATATACTCTCAACAATTTTTCATAACTCTAGAATTGATTTGATGCATAAATTTGTCAGATTATCTTGAAGATAGCAGTCAAATTCAGTTTTACAAGTATATAGTTTTACCTGATTTTCAGTTACAATCAATGTATGCAAGTTCTGTTTCAAAGTTAGTATTATAGTTCTATATAATATGAAGTGTTATCAAAGATTGTTACTTATTAGAGAATTGTATTTCACTGTCTTCACATCTCAAACATCTGCTCATTCAAATCTCTGATAGTTGACATTGTAATAGTCTCAGACTAATTTGACATATGAGTCTTATTCCTTCTCTGTTCAATCTTGAGAAGTGTAGATATTAACTCAACAGAAGAGATCTAGTAGAGCTGCTATAGTATAGTACTCTGCAAAAGATTGTTCTGTTTTGCTGTAGTAATATGCCAGTTTATTTCTTACAGTAACAATAGTCTGTGCTATAGCATCATCCCAGACTGAATTTCTTTTTAAGTGATTCAACTGCTTCTCAAGATAAGTAAATAAACTGTTATACACTCATCAGACTGACTGCAGCATTGGTGTATAAGTGATTGAGACTGTCTTTATTATCTTATAAAACTGAAACAGTAAATCAATCACATATTTCAACTGAGTTCACTTCATATCAGAAAGTTTCAATATCTGAATCTTTTCCTGATCAGAGTGTTGCACTCAATAATCAATTATCTGATACAATTGAAGAGCCTGAATAGTTATCTCATATATTGAACTTCACTGTGTTCTAACATTCTGTATCATATTCAGTGATGTGACTGATTTGTTTATTTATTAAATATTATGAAATTATTGTTGTTATTTAGAAGAGATACAAATCGCATTAGCAATGTTTTGAATCTATGATATTTAAATTATTAGTCAATCTATTCAAAATTAACAGTAGTATTATCAAAAAGTGTTATCAAAAAGCAATATTAAAAAGTGTTATCAAAAAACATTATCTTTTGTAAAATGAATGCAAAAGTTACTTGAGTAATCACTTTCATCTTATTCTCATCTCAAGAATCAGTCATCTCATTATTCTTCATCTTGATATTAAGATTCTTTATCAGTGTTTATATCATAAGTTAAACCATATGAGCAATGCAGAGAATATGACCTTGTTTATTATTTCAGAAATGCAAAGCTAATTTTTGCTCTAAGCTCTTCATCATAGTGTAGTTATTCACAGCATTGTCAGTTGTAATTGTAAGAAGACTGAGACTAATATCTCAATAGTCATTTTTAATCACAGTTATTAATATCTCTATCATATAATTCTCAGTATGACTACTGATCAATGATTCAAATTCAATTAATATCTCTTAATAAGTTCAGTTCTCATTAATATAATAACATGTAACTCTCATAAATGCAAGATTGTTTATACTAGTTTATACATTCACTGTGAAAGACACTCTTCAATGATTCTTCAACTCTGATTCTAGATGTTGTATATTGACTTTATAGTGTGTCTTGAGATTGAACTGAAGACAGAATCAATGTAAAATATGAAGATTTGAATTAAGCATTTGAAGAAGTGTTCAGAATTCAGGATTTTCAATTGATTGAAGAGAAAGATTCAGAGATATACACATGCAAAGTAATTGTTCATGAAAGTTATCAGATGAGAGTTGTGAAATCAGAGTACTGATATGAGATTATTTTCACATGATTTTCTTCAAATTAGAAAGTTAGTGTTATTAAAAATCATTATCTGATAGAGTAACTTATCAGCTCAGTAGTAATTTTCTGATTATTTTTCTTTTATTGTCTGCATTCTGATGACTTCAGATGTCAGAAAATTCCTTCAAAGTTATGATCAGTTTATGATGAATGTTTCTGAATGAAGTTGCAGTGATTGCAGCAAAGAGATAACTCTTCAGTAATCTACAATACAATCTGTTGATAATTATTTCATAGTTTATCTTGATATTTGTGTTGAGTTTTTCATAAATTTCATGGCCTGGAATCAGATGTGAAGAATAAAGTGATTATTCATTATAATTGAAAGAGAGCATTCTGTGTTGAATTGTAAACAACATAGACTTTGTGATTCACAGTGATTTCTTAAAGAGTTTGTGAATCTTCAATAGAAGTAAAAGAAGTGAAAGAAGTGAATTCAGAAGATATGATAATAATTTGAGAAAGATAACAATTTATTTTCAATAACTGATCACTGATATGTGTAAGAAGAATTAATATAAGAGAAAATAATCTTGTTTCTTAGCTTAGTTATAATTTTAGTACTAACTCAGATTGAATATCATTGATGTATAAAAGTAAATAAACAATCTTGATTAATCTCTGTCATATTTCTTGAAATATATTAATATTGTGAAAGAGAGCATTACTAAATTGTATTATCAGATGATATCATTAAAAATATATTAATATTGTGAATATCAATATTGAAAAAATGTTGATATTTATACATTATAGTGATTTGTGAATCATGATAGTTAAATATATATATATATATATATCATTCCTGACTTGATTACAACTTGTACAATAATTTTTGAAAACTCAAAATCAATTTTAATTATTAATAATTAAAAACTTAAACTTATAATTAACTAATATAAAAAGAAAAAAATCTACTTCTTCTCTTTCTCATTCTTCTTATTATTCTTCACAATTCACTTCTCATTCTTCTTCTTCTTCTTCTTCTTCTTCTTCTTCTCCTCCTCATCTGAGATGATAATCATCTTAAAATCTCTCTTCACTGTCTTCTCAGAGAAGGGTTCTCACTGCTTCTTCTCAGCCAGGTCAACCTGCATCTCAAAATCCTGCATTTTCTGGTCTGCTGTCTCAGGTTTCATCTCAGCAGTAAGCAGATTGACATGCTCAGAGAGCAGGGCTGTCTTCTCAATGTTCTGAATCATGGAGTGCATTTGAGACCTGAACAAGGCCTCAATCCCCTTCTTCTCTGTCAGCTTCTACTAATCAATTAGAGAACAGAAGTGTTATCAAAAATTATTATCTCTCAATAAAAACTTACCAGTTTTAACTTCTTTGTCTCTTACTTTAATATCTTCTTAATCTTCTTCTGCTGCTGTTTATTTGCAGTAATACTCTTCTTCTCTCTCTCTCTCTTCATCTTGATCTCAAATCATTCTCAGAACTTCTTCTGATTTCACTGCTACTGCATGAGACTCTTCACTGTCTTCTTTTTCAATCTCTCACAGATGATGTCATTCACATTATTTCTATACTTAGTTCAGTCTAAATCTATCAGAAGTATTACTTAAAATTATTATCATTCTACTCTCTTGCAGAGCCTCTTTGAGGCATTATAATGTGTCTTATGATCTGTCTCTCTGTGCTTGAATGCCTTCTTCTTCTCTTTCTTCAATCTGTGACAGTGCTCACGCGCCTTGATGGTCCGCAGAACCGCAGAATATTTGAAGAGAGATGACATAATTAATTTTAATGAGTGTTGAGAGAGAGTGAAGACAGGCAATGATATGATAATAATGATGATGATGATAATGATGATGATGATGATGATAATGATAATGATAATAATGATAATGATAATGATAATGATGATGATGATGATAATAATAATAATGATAATGATGATGATGATGATGATGATGATGAAAGAGAGAGTGCATTGAAATATATTATTGACTTATCAAACATAAAGAGACAAAGAAACTATTAACAGCTTTCAGAGATGTACAGAAATTACTACAGTGTTGTGTAGCAACATTATCTTCATTCAATACATACACTATTGATATTCTTTGTATGCATTTATTATATAATCTATATCAGAGATACATGCAGAAAACAGATCTTTGTTGCTAGAAAGAATGATTACAGCAATTCTCTGTTTTTATATTATAAAGATAAGTTATTCTCATTTCTTTCTTCTCTCTTTTCTCTTCTTCTTCAATTCATCACTAAGTTCAAGCTGATATGAAAACTATTAAAACACTCATAGAAACTCTCAAATTGAAGAGTATAAACTAATCAAATTTTAAATGCAGATGAATTAAAATAATTCAATAATACTAATTATTCATTTCTCTCTCAATAAAACAACAGTCATGTCTTTCTTCTCCCTCTCAAATGAAACATGGCTCATGAAAAGCGAGTACCATATCAGGCTATAATGACCAACATGGTCCCAGCACGCAGGGCTGTATACATGCAGTGTGTGCTGAACTGAGAGACTGTGTGAGTTGCAAACTGATAGCAGCATCTCAGAGAGAGTCATGCAGTGTGAGAAAGCTGCAACTCTCAGTCACATGTGCAGAGAGTGAATCACTGCAGTAAGTACATGTGCATTGCATGAAAGTAACACTTTTTGATAACACTCAGTCTCTGATATCATGAAAATAGAGTCTCTTCATGAGATCTGTTTTTATCAGAAGTCAGAGAATCTTATATTTCTCAAGATCATCTTCACATATCTTATCTGTGAAATTGATGAGAGAAATCATTGATTTCAGCATTCTGTCCTTGATGCTATTCAAGTAGCAGCAGAGTTCACCCTGGCCATACTTTTTAAGTGTATGTTTTCTAATTATTCACATTTATACAGATATATACTGATTATTTATTAGATGATGTTAAGACAATAACTCATTGCAGCTGTGTTATTCTCACTGTGAGAGATACATGATTGATGATAAACATTGTGAAGACTCTGAGAAGTGAGTATTTTAAAGATACTGTGGCTCTGTGATCTTGATTTTTTTTGTTTTTATTTTTTGTTTTTTTCTTTTTCTTTTCTTTTTTTTTTTTTTTAATGTGATTTTTTCTTATATTTGTTTTGTTTTTTGTTTTTTATTTTTTTTTGTATTTTATGTTTTTTTTATAATTAAAATTATATGAATTATGATCTGTGTTTAGAAAAGTAATAATATTTGATAATACTCTCTGTTGAATTTTCAACAAATGAGCACTATGTTATGATATTATGTAAGTGAGAAGTGATTTCATGATCTCATTTAATGTCATTCTCAATAATGAAATCAGAATGAAAATGTGACTAAGAATTTAAACATATTCTTTATTCAGAACTAGATTTTTATTTGAAAAGTGAATCTGAGACCTTTAATATTTGAAATAACATGATTTGGAATCAATGTGATGAATATAAACCATGACCAGAAGTAATGCTTTTAGACAACATGACAACTGTAAAGTTTAATCCTGGTCTCAGACACGGTCACATGATCAGTCTACTATAAACTAAGTAGACTTAAATATCTATATATAAGTAAGAGTCTCTGTTATTCAAATAGACTTTTAAGTTTCTGAGATCACTTCTGAAGAAGTCACTGATCAATATTAACATAAAGTATATATTAACTGTAATTAATCAGAATATATTACTTTTAACTGCTAATTAATCTATGTATCTTCTTACTTAAGAGAAAGATCAGTGTCTTCTTACTTAAAGAATGAATCAGTGCCTGTTAGACTGTTATTATTATCATTATTATTATTCTTTCATTATACTTATATACAAGTGGAGCTTATAATAAGTTCTTGTGTGATATTAAATACAAATTAAGTGTTAATTATATAGAAGAAAATACAGATGTTAAGATTATATCAAGATAATAAGAACATAGAAAATACAAAGAAGTGATAATTAAATATATATAATAATAACTTCTCATCTCAGAAATATAGAGTAATTTTATTGAAGTGATTTGTATATCTCTGTATTTATTAAAAACCTGAGATGCTTGAGTTCTGAATTTAATGTATCTTCTGCGGGTTTTGAACTTACATGTCTTGATTTCTCATGTCAAGATGCTATCAGATAGCTGCATTAATCATTCAGTTATTAGAGCTCTGTTAGACTGATCACTGGAATTGTCACGCTCCCGGCCGCGTCAAGGCTCCGTTGCGGTTCTTTTCATTTGATTCTCTCAAGATTAATTATCTGCTTCTAGAATCTTGATATTGAAGTTAGAAATAAATATTATAAGAGAAGTGTTTCTCTGTTAAGTACTCTGTAATTAATCTAATACTTTCTATTGTATAACAGTGTTTTAAAACAGAATATCAAGATAATTGATGATATTATCAGATATTTATAATGCTAATTTATATGCTTTTATTTATGAATGAAACTTCTGTTTCATGCAATTCTTCAATTATTCATTAATATATTAATCTTAATTAATTAGTGAACTGATGATATCTTCATCTATACTTAGTTTTATAAACATTTTCAATCTTTATAATGAATAGAGAGTGAGGTCAGAAGTATTAAAATATATAAAAGTATTTAAGTGTTTTTTTTAATATTTGTATTATATTTATATTTAATTCTGTTGATATTGAAATTGTCTGTACAGAGGTTTTTTATTAAGATAATTATTAAATCTCTTTATATTAATATTATTAAGTTGCATGCATATCAGCTATTTATTATTATTATAATTTTAACATTACTCAGAGTCACTGTAGTACTATATCTATACTTATATTTAAAAGTTCTTCTGTATTATTGTTAGATATGATTAATTATATTAATTATCAGATATGTAATATCTGTGAAATTGAAAGAAGTGTAATTATATAAATATCTTATACATCTGTATCAGAACTCTCAGATCTTTTACTGATATTCTCTTTATAAGATCTTATTCTCTTTGTAAGATCTTGTTACAGAGTCAGAGTGACTGATAAGTAAGCTTCTATCTAAGAACTTAGTATCTACTTAACTATTTATTCATTTCTCTATTTCTTATATATTATTATATGTTTGAATGTCTTGATGAGTAATTATTTCTAATAAGAAGATAATAAATGAGATAATCATTTCTAATAAGAAGATAATGAATGTTTTTCAAGTGTAAAAGATTTATACTGAATAGATCAGTATAATATTTATAAGTCTTATATAATAAAGTAAAAAATGTTAAAGAAGAAAAGAAAAGAGAGAAAGTATAAGAATTAGTAATTAGAGTGAATATTTATACATGTATATAATAATATATATAGTGAAGCTTCAGAGTAAAAGAATAGAAATTCTGTAGATTTTCAGCTGAGAATCAGTGACTGAGAATCAGAGTAGTAGAAATCTGTAAAGTGTAATAAAATAGTTTATATAATTGATTAAACACAGCTTATTATATTTATTATTTCATTATTAAATTCTATACTCTGATAAAAACTAATATCAGTCTCATCTTATAACTTAGAAACTTTCTCATAATAAGTAATTATTCTATTAATAAGTTATCTAGTAAAGTAAGTGATTTTAAGCCTTAAGCTGAACTCTGAAGTAATAGATATATTACTTATATTAAAATAACTCTACTTCTTCTAGATATGTAAAAAAAAAAAAAAAAAAAAAAAAAAAAAAAAAAAAAAAAAAGATATTCTTCATAATAGAGAACATACTTTTTCAAAAGTATATAAATTTACTAATTAGTAAATTCAGAGAAAATAAAATATCTTTAATAAAAAGTAAGAGTTTTCTTAAAAAAGATGAACTATTCTCATCAAAAATATTGATACAACATTTTAAAAAGAAAAACATGTCATTCAGGCTATAACCTGTAGAATAGTTAAAGGTTGTATTACTATTAATAGATCTATCTACAAGAACATAATATAGTGGTGGGTCACGTGATCTAGTGGGATCGCTAACCGCGACGGCCGTAACGGCCAACAAATACAACAGATTCATGTTCCGTATCATTTGTTTACTTCTTGTCAAGTGACTCATCTCAACAAAGAAGAACAATACTTCAGTGTGCTGCTACCCTTGCACTGAGGACTTCTAAAAATCCTTATTACATTCTGCCATAGCGAAGTTTTATAACTCAATATCTTGCCTGCACTGGCCTGGTAGGAACAGTGTCACAGAATGAACAGCCGAGTACAACAGCTACTGGCTGAACTCGAAGAAGAGCGGGCATTACGAGAAGAAGAACGGGCATTACGAGAAATTGCGGAAGCACAGGCGGAAAAGGAAAGAGGACTACGACAAGAGGAACAGCGACGACGCGAAGAGGAACAGCGACGACGCGAAGAAGCAGAGAGCCTTACTGCAGATACCCAGCCTACCACATTTCTGCCCTTCCTCCATAACTGCCACAAGCTCTTACTCGCAATCCGCATCGTGACAGACCCAACAAGAACCACTCAGGGTATTGTAACCAAGCCAGCTAATCGGAGGGTTCCTTCGCGCATCATAATATGTGACAAGTTCTTTGCTAAGCAGGAGGCAGTCTGGAGGATTCTCAATGATCATCCATTGTTTCTGATGAAAAAGCAGTTTCCATCAAAACATCAGCTTGAGTATGTTTGCAAGGTCCTCAGCCCGATCACTGCAGAATCAGATCTTCGATACTATGAACGAGAGACAGTGGAGAACCAGGTTCGCAATATTGTTGACCAGATCACTGAAGACATAAGTCTCAAAGAGGCATTTGGACTGCGAGGCTCAATCACCTTTGACAGCCATACAAATGTAGGATGTCCACAGGAGAGCTTGCTGAGTGGAGAGGGGAAGGACCTGTCAATCAACTCAGAGACTGCACCATCGGCCAAAGCTAAGAGTAGAGGTCAGAAGAAAAAGGAGCCCACCGCAGTCACAAGAGGGCAAGCGGATCGCTTCTGTATCTACCACCAGGATGGTGATGATCACATCCCCGCCATCGCGATCGAATATAAGGCGCCTCACAAACTCACGCAGGCTGAGATGACTACAGGATTGAGGGAAGAGATCCGACCTGCCTGGGATGTGATCAATCAGGAGTCTGAGGATGTTATCTTCTGCTGTAGAAGACTTGTCGCTGCAGTCATCACCCAGCTCTTCTCCTACATGGTGCAGAAACGTGTACGATACGGCTATGTCTGCACTGGAGAAGCCTTCATCTTTGTGTACATCTCAGATGATCCATCTTCAGTTCAGTGTGCGCTTTGCATACCGGGTCGGGATGTCAAGGGGACCGATGATGATGATCTTCAGGGGACAGCTGTCGCGCAGGTCCTGGCATTCACCATCAGAGCATTGACCTCACCACCAGTTTCCCAGCAGTGGAGTGATGCTGCTGATGAGCTTGATGTCTGGCCTGTGGAGTATTCCGACATCCTAGACCAGACTCCACCTGCCGCTCGCCTGAAACATGCCTCTCCATTATACCACGGCAGACGCTCTCACAACCTTTCTCCCTTCAGAATGACACTGCGATCCGGATGTCGGCCCTCTGAAAACAAACGCCGAGCGACAAGCTCCCCCTCGCCGTCTCCTCCCCCATCCCCTTCCCTTACACCGCACTCCGGGCCCCGTGGCCGAGCCAGAAGAGGAGGTCACATCCAGTCTGCAAAGCCCAGAGAGACTCCAGGACATGGGGAGGGCACCCAGCGGATGCCCAATGCTATTGAGACCTTGACCATCAAGACTCGCCCATACTGCTCTCAGCGATGTCTCCTCGCGCTTAGGGACAACACCCCTCTTGATCCCACGTGCTCCAACTACGAGGTTCACAGGAAGCACCGGATCAAGGCAGGCGAATTCCGTGCTCTTGTCCAGAAGCAACTTGCCACAGATCGTGGCCCAGATGCTGACTGCTGTCCACTCTACAAGGCAGGAAGTTGCGGCACACTGCTCAAAGTGAGACTTTCATCGCATGGGTACACCTTGGTCGCCAAGGCCGTGGAATCCAAGAATAAAGATAAACTCCAGCATGAAAGGAAGGTCTACAATCAGCTCCGAGACCTTCAAGGCGAATGCATCCCAGTCTGCCTTGGTGTTGTCAAATTGGAGCCAAAGCGCCCCTATTACCATGAAGAAAAAATCCACACCCATATTTTACTTCTGAGTTGGGCGGGAGAATCAATCGAAAAAGCTGGAACGCTTAGCCCCGCGAATAAACGGTCCACAGTATGCCGTGCCCTTCAAGCCATTCACTCGAGGGGGATTCTCCATGGCGACGCGGAGCCGCGAAATATACTATGGGACCAGGCCTGCGAACGTGTGAGGGTGGTTGATTTTGAACTGGCCACTATACAGCAGCCTCTCTCCGATGCGTCCACCAACATTGTAAGAAAGAGAAAAGTGATGTCAACTTGTTTCAGCAAAGAGCTTCAACACATTGAGACTGTCTTTGAGATACAAGACTTGAAATGACCGATTCATTGAACTTGTGATCAATAATTTCCTAATTTCCTTTCTTGACATTGTAATTCTCGTGCCTGTACTGCACATTTTTTTTTTTTTTTAATTTTTGTTTCACTAATTTCACTACACCTGTAATGAAGTGGAAGGGTATTTCTAGCCTAAGAGAGCTCCTTGCTTGAGCATGCTGTCTACCTACTCTTCTTATCTCATAAACTTCTTTGTTCAGACACGCTTCAATCTGAGTCTCATTCATGCTTACTTCTGATCGCACTGCCAAGACACAAAATTTCTCAATGACATCATTGTACATAATTCTGAAATCTAGGAATAGAAACTGACTCACGATTAAAAATGCATCAGTCTTTTCAAATCACAACAAACAGAAACATAGCTGCTAGCATCAACATATAAAATAGTGAGTGACAGAGAGTAGTGTCAAGCTTAATAGAAAGTTCGTGGAAAGCTACAAGAGACAATCTGGAAAACATAATAGTGTAGAAACAAATCATATCAGATATTATTTAAAACTTCTGTATGAGATTATATTTCAATCAACCGCTCCACCACGAACTTGCTCGATTTTTCGAATAAGAACCCGCTAATAGATCCATCGAAAAGCCCTCAATCATACAAGCATTTTGACCCCATCGCCGACCGCATACCCCGTGTGGTGGTGGAGTTATCCAAACATGAACCAGACGTTGTTCGAAACTCCTGTGTGGGATTATCCCCCATTCACCCCTACCACACCACAACCCCGGGCCAAATTGCCATACAAATTGTAAGGTGAAGAGACCGAGCCATATGCGCCAATCTTCTTGATTTTGGAAGATCCCTGATCTGTAATTGTGAAGATATCTGAGAAGCAACCTCCGCGAAAACCCTGTCCATCTTTGATGTTTCAAAACATCAACACCAAGTCCCACCCTCGTACCGCCCTTCCCAACCTGGCCCATCCCCAGCAGAAAAATACAAAAAGATACCTCGGCAATAATATCAAGCACATAATCAACAGACACATCTGAAGTGCAACCTCCGCGAAAACCCTGTCTGTCTTCAGTGTATCAAGACATCAACACCAAGTTTCACCCTTGTACCGCCCCTCTCAATCTGGCCCATCCCCGGCAGAAAAATACAAAAAGATACCTTGGCAACAGTATTTGATACATAATCAGTGGACAACGAGTCAACAGCACATCAACAACTATAAAATCAGTATATCTCAAGGTCTGACTGAGTCTTTGATCTCTGCACAGTGAGATATATTAAATCTAGTTTTAATACCTTAATATTCAATAGATTCTGCAAGGGATTGAGAACAGTAACACTAGATTTCTATTGAATTTGAGAATTAACTTGTGACGGGCTGCGTCTGATCAATCATATTACACTCCACAGATTCCTACTGAGGCTCTGATTCTCGGTCGCTGATTCTCTGCTGAAGCTCCGATTCTCAGTCGCTGATTCTCAGCTGAAAACCTACAGAATTTCTATTCTTCTGCTCTGAAGCTTCACTGTGTATATTAACATATGTGTATAAATATTCACTCTGATTGCTAATTCTCACACTTTCTCTTTTCTTTTCTTCTTTAATGTTTTTCACTTTGTTATATAAGACTTATAAATGTCATACTAATCTATTAAGTGTAGGCCTCTTATACTTGAAAAACATTCATTATCTTCTTATTAGAAATAATTATTCTTATTCATTATTGTGGCGGGCTGGGCCCGATCAATCATATAGACTATTTCATTACACTCCACAGATTCCGCCGAAAGCTCCGATCCTCAGTCGCCGATCCTCGGCCGAAAAACCCATGGAATTCCTATTCTTCCGCCCCGAAGCTCCACCGCGTACGCATATAAATATCCACTCTGATCGCTGATTCCCGCACTTTCTCTTTCTTTCCTTCTCTAACATTTTTCACTTTGTTATATAAGACCTATATATTATACCGATCTATTCGGCGTAGGCCCCTTACAATTATCTTCTCATTAGAAATAATTACTTATTAAGAGGATATCTGAATGTGTAACAATATGTAAGAAATAGAAAAATGACTAAATAGTTAAGTGAACACTGAGTTCTCAGGCCTCAGTGACTGAATGGTTAATGCAGCCACCTGGTAGTGTCTTAGCATGGGAAACCAAGGTGTGTGAGTTCAAAACCTGCAGGAAATACATTAAATTCAGAACTCAAGCACCTCAGATTTCTAATAAATACAGAGATGTATAAATCACTTTAACAAATTACTCTATGTTTCTGAAATGAAAAGTTATTATCATATATATTTAATTATTACTTCTTTATATTTTCTATGTTCTTATTATTTTGATATGATTTTAATACCTGTATTTTCTTCTGTATAATCAATACTTGACCTGCATTTAACATCATACAAGAACTTATTATAAGCTCCGCTTGTATATAAGTATAATAAAAGAATAATAATAATAATAATAACTAGGTTCTTAAATAGAAACTTGCTTATTAGTTACTCTGATCTTATAATAAGATTTTATAAAGATAATAAAATCTTATAAAGAAAATATCAGTGAAAGATTTAAGAGTTCTAATACTCTAAATATATAAGATATTTATATAATTACACTTCATTCAATTTTATACATCTAATGAATAATATAACTATGTCTAATAATAACATAAAATAATCTTTAAATATAAGTATAAATATAATATTACAGTAACTCTGAGTAATATTGAAATTATAATAATTATTATTATTCTTCAATTATAAATGTATACAGTTGTTAGTTAGAGACTATGATATCTATCTGAGAACTTTTAATTCTCAGAGTTTTTTCTATATCTATAAAGTTAACTATTATACATTCAGTAATTTCAGATATGTAAAATCAGAAAATTCTAGCTCAGAATATAAAAACTGTTTATAAATTACAGTATTTTAACATCTTCTGATACTTTGAAATCATTTGACAATATTATAATAAAAGAAAAAAGAATACAGTCTTAAAGATAGACACATTAAATAGATAGATAGAAAAGAATAGAAAGAAAAAAGTAAAGTAAAGAGAGACTGTAATAAAACAAAATATTAAAAGATAGTATATAGCTGTTTTAACAGACTATATCTAATTAATTTCCTTCTCTTCATATTCAGATATTTCTGAATTTAGTTATTTTCTTATAGCTGCTTGAGTTTCTGATAGAAAGTCTACTAAGTATTTAATTTCTATATCAGTTAAGAATAAGAATCTTATATTTAATTAATTTAGATTATACTTCTCTTTCAATCTGACTCTGAGACTATTATATAATATACAGTGTATTATAAGATACTCAGAATTCTCATGTATTACAGAATGAGTATTCTATTAAATTAAATCTATTATCAAATCTTTATATATAAGATTTAAGATAGTTATATTCTAGTTTCAGCTGTATTATTGTAAGAATAAGTGCTCGCAGGTAATTATTCAGGTGTTTGCAGCTTGACGTGATATGTACTGTTAACTACTAGAAGTATTCACAGTAGAAAGATAAAATATAGAGATTAAATGTATAATAGCATTCAAGCTGAGTTATGAATAGTATTTATGAACTTCAGTCTATATAGTTGTGTGTAGTCAAGAGTCACTAGCTCTATTAATTATATAAGAGATAGAAATAGAGATAAAGAATCTGTAAGAAGCAGAATTTCTTATATACTTCTCTCTCTCTAAGACTTTATTCATGAAGTCTTTCACTGAGTGACTTCATAGAATCAGCTCAGCACTGCAGTGATACTCATTAAAAATTCTTCACATCTATAAAAATCTCAGTGAGGAAAAATCTCTTGTTATTATAAAGAGAAAAGAGTCTGTCACTTAGTTTCTTATTCTGTAAGATTCTTTATAATCTACAGATTCTTCTCTAACTATTATACAGATTCATCTCATATCTTTTATACAGAAGAGTTTCAGTTGACTCTTAATTATTTTCATGAGATTCTTATGTAATCATTATACAGATTCATCTCATAGATGAATCACTCTCTGTGAAATTATCTTTATTAAAGAGAAGTATTCATAAGTTAATCTTTCACTTATTCTTATAAATCATTATTCTTTAACACTGTAGAATTGTGAGGAATTTTTCATTCTTTTATCAACTCTGTAGAATTATAGAATCAAGATATTCACAGTCTGTAATCACTCTTTATAGTCACATAGAAAGATTCAGATCTGTGATTTATAATTACTCTTATTTACTAGAGTGATCTGACTATTTTATAGAATCACTCATAGTGTAAGTAAATCTCTCTAGAGTAGTATAAATATCTCAGATTTGTCTGTGAAATCTTATCTTCTTTTCTCTTTTTCTGTAACAGCTCTCATTCTCATAACTATAAGTATTCTCATTCATTTATAAAGTGTTTTCATTCAGATGATAGAGAGAGAGAGTTTCTAATAATATCTGTATATTAATTCAAGAACTTCTTAAGAATAAAAATTTTTCAATTTCAATATCTTTATAAATAATATCTGATCACTACTGAGCTTCTTATAAGTGTTCTTATAACTTCTCTGATCACTTTTTACTGACTGATGAAGCAGAGATACTACTATTTATAACTATGTCTTCATTCTCTTCAGTTTTATCACTGCATCTGATCTTCAGATCAGTAATTAATTCTCTATCTCTTTCAGACCAGCTTCTGACTTCAAGCAGCACAGTTCTCTTTTTTACTGTAAGTCTTCTTATAAGTAATTTCTTACAGACTCTAACTGATAGTTTTTATAAAGCTCTTTGTATTATCAGTGTCTTCTGCAGCTCTGTAAGTCTATAATCACTCTCTTTCTACTCACACAATCTCTGATCAGATATATGTGAATATGTCTAGATTCTCTATCAATGATTCTCATACTGCAGTGCATTTCTGCAATCTCATTATTAATGAGAGATGAGTTCTCAGATATCTGTAAAATTCAGATAATTAAGACAATGTGAATACTATAAATTCATAATAAGAGTTGATCTGAGCAGATGAGCTCTCTCTCTGTGTCTTAATTATTTTCAGACTGAATACTTCAGTATAACTGAAGAAGTAGACACAGCTTCATAAGAGATATCTAGTTATATATGCAGATAATCAGTCTTCAAGATTCTGCTATAACTGTATACATTCTGATGTTCAGCTTCTCTGAAGTCTGTGCATTTCTGATAGTCTTCATATTAAATGTAATAATTATCTGTATCATAGATATAATACACTCTACTTCTTTGAAGAGAGAAATTAATAGTTATAAGAGAATTAAGTATTATAAATATTGAGAATGTGAGTATGAGTTTTCTTTATTTTTTCTTTATTAGTCTCTAAATTGTGTTCACAGCTCTGTTTATTTTCTTATTTTTTAGCTTTAATAAGAATATGATTTCTTCTTCTCTTATATATGCTGCAGACTGTTCATCTCAGTAGAAACTCATTATTTTATAGACTAGAGTTTATAAATAATAGTATTAATATCTTTATTACAATCAGGTTCTTAGTGAAGATTATATCATTCTAGCTTATCAGAATTTATAATATAAAAGTTATGTCTCAGCTTCTACAGATATCTTATCTACTCAGATAATTCTCAAGTGAACTTATTTATCTTATCAGAATACTCTTATCACTGAATCTTGAATCAGAGCTTATAATCTCACTTCTCTGAGTTAATAATCTCTTTAATCTGATATTCTCTTTCACTCTCTAGTACTTCATAGATAGAGTGATAAGTCACAGAGTTCTCTTCTGAGAATTTCTTATATTTACAGAGTAAAGAGACATGAAAAACATTGTATATCTGTAACTTAGATAACAGTTTCAATCTATAGAACTGTAAACTAATTTTCTTCACAATCTTATAAGACTCTATTTATAAGAGATTCAGCTTCTTACTAGATCTTCATATAATAATGTTTTCTAGACTCAGTCAGACTCTATTATCTTTTTTAAAACTTTTTATAATATGCTTGAAGTTATAGTATCTCTTCTGATACTCTTAAGTCTTTCTCAAGAATTCACAGACTTTCTCTCAGATATTCTGAATTCTCTCAGCTTATTCACAGATATTATCACACTCTATAGTGTACTCTCACAGGTTTGTCAAGATTATCTGTGAATAAGTCTCAGTGAGCATCTCAAAGAGAGTTTTATCTATACTAACATGCTTTGAGTTATTATATATAAACTCTGTGAGTAGTAATCAATATACTCAGTCATTCTGATTATAATTGACAAAGCATTGCAGATACTGTTTTAATATACTTATCAGATATTCTATCTAATCATCTGTCTGTTGATAAAAAGCTGTACTTAGATCTCATGAGATCTTCAGTATAGTTATCAGATCAGATCAGAACTCTTCTATAAAGATTAATTCTCTGTTTGAGATAATATTTATAGATAATTCATGCAATCAGATCACATTACAGATAAAGATATAAGTTAAATTCTTTAACTTCAAGTTCTTATAGATAAGTATAAAGTGTGTTATCTTGATAAAGTGATTCACTATTATCAGTACACTGTTAAAGCAGGCTTCATATATGTTCTTGCTTTCAGAGAGACTTATAAGAATATTCATTTCTAGCTGTTCTCAAGGTTTCTGCAGAATGAGTAGAGA